AGACACGTATCTGGAACGAAGAGAGTAATAAGTTTATTTACTAAATATCAAAATTGATTGTTTGACTGTACAGTAGAATTTTATTCAATAAACTAAAATATTTTTGAATAAATTGTTTATCAAATACACTAAAGTTATTATTCAAATATACCGATTGTATCTGTTTGAATTGATTTAAAAAATAATCTAAAGCCAAAAGAAGTTCGATTTCATGTTTAATAAATTTTTATAAAACTAACTTTTAGAAAAAAAAAAATCGTGTGAATTACTCAAAATTATTCAAAATGATATGTTTGTTATTATAATTGTATCTTTTATAGAACATTTATAATTTATTTTAATTTTTATTAAATTTTTTAAAATTATATAGTATAAAAAAAATAATAAATTTGATAACTAATACTCCCTCTGTCCATTAATTATACATCCGTTTATTTTTTACATCGAGTTTAAGATATATTAATATTATATTGATATATAGTATAAATAAAATAGAAATAATTAAAATAATTTTATTAGTATTGTGTGATATAAAAGTAATGACATTTGTGTAATACTGCCTCCGTCTCAAACACCCTGCAACATTTTCTTTTTTCTTGTCCCAAACTCACTGCAACATTTCTAAATTTAGAAATAATTAATAATATTTTTATACATATATTAATATACGTTTCACTTTATCCCATCACATCAGTCAAATAAAAAAAATAATCATTTCTCTCTCCAATCACATCATTTAATATACAAATTATCTTAAATTACCATACTTAATACTCCCCACTTAAATTCTCGTGCCAAATACAAATGTTGCACAATGTTTGGGACGAAGAGAGTATATTATAAGTTGTAATGATATTTGTAATATTAGGTAGATATTATATGACAATTACTATAAAAAAAAAAAATGAATAATTTGTTGTAGGATAGATCAAAAAAAAAAAAAAAGATAATTTTTTAAAGGACGGATGAATTATCTTAAAATTTTAATTTAAGAATACTATATAAATTAAAAATAAAATTACGACTCAATGTTAAATTATTTTATTTTTATGATTTATTAGAAAATTTTGTAAATTATATTTAATAATTTTAACCTTTTAGTATAATTTAAATTTTTTATTTTAGATTTGGTATTTAAATTATAACTACTACGTCTGTCCCATAAAAAAAAAATAACATTTATCTTTTGCGTCGTTGTATAACGTTGAAAATATTCTTATATTTGTATAATTTTACTTCTCAAATGTCATTATATTTGTATTATAAGACACTAATAGAGACATTTTTGCCACTTTTTTTTTTTTATTTGGACTACGTATTGATATAATAATTAATATTCAAATATCAACATTCAAAAACTCATGGTACTCTTTTTATGGGACCGAATTAGTAAAAATAATATTGTTTACTCTTCCAGGGTGTGTTTGTTCGAGGGTTTGGATTTTGAGTTGGGATTTGAATAGTACAAATTTTGAATTTAAATAATTATATGATATGATATAAATAGGTATTGATGTGATGTTTTGAATGTAAAATTGATTTTTAGTATAATATAAAAAATAAAAAATAAGTGTTTAATTTAATATTTTTTGAGAGAAAAAAAATGAGATGAATGGTAAATTTAAAATCCAATTCCAATTCCAGACAAGCACAAGCCATAAGAACTGGGCAGCGTTGAAGATCCCTCCCTAAACATATTTATTAAAAAATAAAATAAAAATTTTGTGATTGAACCAAAAATATGATTAAACAAATACTCCCTCCGTCCCATAAGACACAGGAATTTAGATAAAGTATAATTAATAAGTAATTAAGAAGTGTATTAGTAAAAATAATTATAAATTAAGATTAAGATAAATAAATAGTTTAATTAAAATTAAAAAAAAGTATAAAATTTAAAATTTAAAATTCGATTAAAGTTCTAATTATATTTTCAAAAATAAAAAAGACAAGTTATTTGAGACGGACAAAAATAAAAAATATGGACAAATTATATGGGATACGAGGGAGTACCAGTTAGTCAGGGACATAGGTATATTTTTATAAGCATTTTCACTTGCAAGTAACGTGACAATTTAATTATGTAATAAAAATATTTCAATCAATTGGATTATATTTGGACGAGTGGTCACCGACTCGACAATTTGGTATTGTTTGGTTGTGAATTGATTGGATACTGTAATCCATATATTTCTCAAAATTTCAAATATAATTTCTTTTTACAAAATTATATTTATATTAAATATAATTAGTAAGTATACTCTTTCAAAATATTTCAAAGTATATTTTAAATTTACTTTCAATCAAAGCATTATGAATTAAGATTTGTTCGATTGTGGTTTGAAACTGATTTAAGATTTGTTTGATCATGGTTTGAAACTGATTTGAAATATAAGGTTAATTTAATTTTTTATAAAATAATATTTTGATGTGATATTTTGTAAAGAAAAATAATATTCTCTCTGTCTATCTGGCTCTGATTGTCTCATTTATCTTCTAACGTAATTGTATTTAACATTAAAAATATTTTTATATTTGTATAAGTTTTTGCACAAATATCATTATAATAGTATTATAAGACACTAATAGATATATTTTTGCATTTTTTCTTTAAAAAGTAAATGGGGCTAAGAGCCGGACATAGTTAGTATATTTTTATTAAAAATTGTGCAAAATAATAAAAAACAAATCCTTAAACATTAACTAAACACCATCTAATTAAATAATAGTAATGTCCCGTAAGGGATGACCCGGTGGTGCAGGGGTTGGACTTGTGACCGCGAAGTCATGAGTTTAAATCCCGACGCCTCAGGTTGTGACTTTTCCGTCGGGCCTGGTTTACAGGGTATTAAGTTCGGGCGGGGATTTATCCAGTACGCACTTTCGGACAGCGGCTGCGGATTCTATCGTCATAAAATAAAATAAAATAAAATAAAATAATAGTGATAATAAATTAAATGTAAGGGCGTGATTATAGAATAAGTATAAAAAGAAATTTTAAAGCATGAACAAACACAACCTTGTTTAGGGTAAGTGGTGTCGGTAACACGTTGGGAGGTGGGAATTGAAAATTGATGGGTACAAACACAAGTTGAATGACTTTTAGCCCAAAATATATTCTTCTTTTCACTTTCTTTCTTTGATTGTTTCTATTAACCAATCATTTATATATGAATATACAAAACTTCTCAATCGACCATACACATTTTATTTTGTTTTATTTTATTATATTTTGAAATTATTTTGGGTCTAATTGTTTTAGAGTTTTGATTGATTTTTATTTTTTATTTTTTTATTATGTGAGGTATAAGGAATTGTGTTGGTGTTGTCGCTAAAATTCATCAATAATAGCCTAACATATTTAGGCCAGTCGAAATCCACAAGAATTGAACAACCAAAATATAGGAATTAAATGCAATCAAACAGAAATTAAGCCACAAAGGAAAATAAAATGCAGGAGAAAAATAATTTGCAAAAAAAAAAAAAAAAAGAATAATAATCATAATTTCGCGTTGGACGTATTCGTGTTGATCTCCTAAAGTTTTAGCTTAAATAACCATAATTTGTCTTACTCTCAAAGTTTTTACATTTCACGCTTCATTTTTCCACATAATTTGTCTTTATTTTCTATTTTCGTCCGTTATACATAATTTATCCATTTTTTTTTTAGAAATATGATTATGCACTTTAATTACATTTTATATTTTATATTTCAATTTTTTTTAAATTTAAATTTAATTATTTAGTTATCTTAATCTTAATCGATAATTATTTTTACTATACAATAATTAGTTTTACTAATACACTTTTTAATTATATTTTACCTAAATTTCCGTGTATAGTATAATAGAACGGAGGAAGTATCATTATAAAAAACAATAAAAAATTAAACCATTATTATAGAAAAACAATAAAATATTAAATCAATTTTCGAACCCCAAAGCCTCTCAGGTCATCTACCACGTATGATTCGCCTAGTGTGACTTGTCTGTCGGACCTAGCTTGCAGGATATTAAATTCGACCGGGAGTTTACTCAGTACACACTTTCGGATAGCAGTTACGGATTTCTGATATCATAAAAAACCATAAAAAAAAAAAAAAAAAAAAAATTAAATTAAACCAATCTACGTAAGTCATCTATCTCAGAAGCCACAAATAGAAGGAAACCAACCGAGTAGCGTGATTAATGGACTTTGACATATGATATTACATTTACATGACATCCAAACCCAACTTTTCTATCAAGACCTTCGTACCAGTTTATTTATTTATTTCATATTTGCTTTGCATTTTTATTTGAGTCTTAATTAGATCAATTATTTTAATATAATATTTTATTATAAAAAATTATAAAAACAATAAATATAAGTAGTATATTAAAAATAATTAAAAATACATTAATTAAAATAATTTTAGATTAATATTAAACAACTAGTCTAATTTAAAATTAAAAAATTTAAAATAAAATTAAAGTGTAATATTTTTTTCTAAAAAAGAAAAGTAACAAAATAAGTAAGACGAACGGAAATAGAAAGATGAACATTATAGGTGGGACGAAGATAGTAATTTTTTTTGAAAAAGAAACAAACTTTCTCTCATTATTATTATTATTATGGTAAATTTTAGAATGTATGTTAAATTGTGTTGAAACTAAAATTAAAATAGATGAAACTCATCTATCAATATTCTTTTACCAAATATTTTAATTAATTATTTGACCAATTGAATAGCTAAAAATTAGTATTAAATAAATTAAAATCTGATAAATCAGGTGTATTGTTTATTTATATAAATGTCATAAATATTAGTGGAATAGGAGAAGAGTATGCAATATCTTGTATTTATTTATTTATTTATTTTTCTATACAATAAACACCTAAAATTATGTCCAAACAAAATGAAAGTATTTGGGCTTTCAAAGATAATGGGCCACTACGGGAAAGCCCAAACTATTCCTGGCCCAATTTCTGTAAGACATTGCCTTCTTAGTTTCTCACCGGCGGTTCCTTCTGCATCAGACTTCTCCCATGGCGACCGATCTGCACTCTCCGCGGCCGAAATCGGCGGCGGATCTGTTCGGTGACCCGATAGAGGACTCCCGCCCGCTATGGTTAAATCCCTCAAAGTTCTCCGATGCGGAATTTGACCCGGAGGCGTACATCGCCGATCTCCGCACTTTCGTCCCCTTCGACACGCTGCGGTCGGAGCTCCGATCTCATCTGGGTGTCCTAAAGCACGAGCTTGTAGAATTGATAAATCGAGATTATGCCGATTTCGTGAGCCTCAGTACCAAACTAGTAGACATCGATGGCGCCGTGGTGCGGATGCGAGCGCCATTGCTTGAGATAAAGGATAAGATTTTGGCATTTCGTGGCTCAGTTGAGGGTTCTTTGACTGCGTTGCAGAGCCGACTCAAGCAGCGGGCTCAAGCCAATGAGGCGCGGGAGGTGCTGGAGTTGTTGCTGGATACATTTCATGTTGTTTCCAAGGTCCGATTTACTGATTTTAGGTTAAATTCACGCTTGCATTGGTAAATGCCTCAGATAGAATGATATTGAAGAATTTACCATGGGTGGCCTTATTTCTTAATTCTTAGTTTTTGCTTTGTATTGAATTATATATCTGCATATATATAATTTGATTGAAGTTCCACAATACCGCTTCAGGTTGAAAAACTGATAAAGGAGCTGCCTAGTGTCACAGAGGAATGGTCCAATGGAAATTCTACAGAAAAGGGTCAATTAAGCAATGGAATTTCCGTGCCGCATGCAGAATATGGAGCAAACATAAGGGAGACACAAAGCATGCTTCTGGAAAGAATCGCTAGTGAAATGAACAGGCTGAAGTTCTATATGACTCATGCGCAGGTCTTTCTAAACCCCCACATTAGCTGATGTTTTATTGTCATTCTTATGCACTTATTCTTTTCCAATTCTGCATGATTCTTTCGATGGTTTATGTGAGGTTATAGTTCTACAATTTTTCTCTAGTTTACATCCACTGTGTGAAATTTTTGGTGAGTTTATAACTTACCGATCTTTTCATATCACTATAAGCTCAACTCAACTAGTTCAGATGCTCCTTGTGGAGCTCTAATTAATGTCAAATTGATACTGGAAACTCTTTAGGGTTTTGGTATCTTGTTGTGAAGAAGGCATAGGTTGTCAGGCTAGCTTTTTCATCATAACTGATCCCAAACTCTCCCCTGGATTTTTTTTTAATGAATAAATTCATGTGTATCCACAAATATATGTATTTCTGTCAAAGGTCACAATTTCTAAATCAGTTGGATCAAATTTGAATATCCGAGCTAGCATCCTTGTACATGAGAACATGGGATTTGTGGCAAAGGAATCCATCTGTCTTTAGGCAAGCCAGTAGTTAGTTAGCTTTTGTAACTTAATAGCTGGTGCACTTTGTTCACGAGATATATCACAAGGAATTGAGATGAGATATAGCGGGAACCATGGGTTGTTAAAGTGCTGATATGGGTGTTCTGTGTGTTTAGGGTGTTGAAATGTGGAAGGTTTTCTGCTATAAGGTCTGCCATTCTCCATGTAGAATTTGTGGAGAACTTTTGTTTTTTGCTAGGCTGCTAAATGTTTTGTTAGACCAAGTAAAAATTGTTGAATAGAAGGGGAAAAAGAAGTGAAGAACAGTTCCTAGAACTGCTGCAGAAAGTTGGAATGTTACTATATGGTTATGGAAACACGATAACTTTATTTTAGAAAGTCAGTCTATCATATTTTGATTTACATTACTGTTCTAGTAAAGCTGTTTGTATATTGAGGCTCTCTTCTATTTATTATTATTAGTAGTAGTAATAATTTTTTACTATGCAATCATTTCAGTTCTCTATAACAATACACCATTTTTCCAAACTAAACATCATATCCAATGATCATTTCACCCAAAAACCAAAACACAAACACACACACACCCAAAAAAAAAAAAGAACCACTAAGTGAACAAACCTTGAGCCTTTGTTTCTGTAGATCTTTTTTTTTTCTGGGTACTCTTTTTAAACATTTGTTGTATAAACTGAAGCTGGTGATCTTGTTTCTTGGTTGACTTTGCACTTCAGCCTTAATTGCCTTGAGAACTTACATATTCATCGCCGAATTTGTGTGTGTACAATACATTTATTCTAATTCATTCTCTATGATGGCAGTACAGAATATGCCGTTCATCGAGAACATGCAGAAGAGGATTCAGAGTGCTAGCCAGTTACTTGATACAAGCTTGGGGCACTGCTTTGTAGATGGGTTGGAGCATAGAGATGAAAATGCAATATACAATTGTTTACGCGCATATGCTGCCATCGATAATACCAGCAGCCCTGAAGAAATTTTCAGCTCTACAATTGTTGCACCATTTATGCAGAAAGTTATCCCTCATACCTCATCTGGAGCTGTGGATGGGTTATCTGAAGATGATCTGGAACCAGATTATGAAAAAATTAAGCTCTGCATTGAAGACGATTGCAAATTTCTATTGGAAATATCTTCAACAGGTATCTTCATTGTTCAGTGACACTGAATCAATAGTCCATGAATTACCAGAGATTCTAGAGATGAGCATAATTATCTAACATGTAATTCTAACTTCTCCTTAGCTTTATCATGCTCAAGAGTACAATATAAACTAGTTTTGAGCTAATTGTTTTTGTGATGCCCAAAAGTTTTACTCTTTTAATGTATTTTTCCTTTATGTGTGCCTAAAACTTGTGCTAAAACAGTACTATTCCTGCATAATGGTTTAACTGATCACCCCCCCACCCCCAAACTTTAAATATCAATATTTGCAGAGAATTCTGGTCTACATGTATTTAGCTTTCTTGCAAATTCTATTCTCAAAGAGGTTGCATTGGCCATTCAAAAAGGAAAGCCTGGGGCTTTCTCTCCTGGAAGGCCCACTGAGTTCCTGAAAAATTATAAAGCAAGCCTGAATTTCTTGGATTATCTGGAAGGTAAGAACTTTTAATACCTGGCAGTGTCTGTGCTATGCCTATATATATTTTTTTTATTGCTCATGTTTTTATTTATTGTGTTAGGGTACTGTCCCTCTAGATCTGCTGTTTCTAAATTTCGGACGGAACCAGTTTATGTAGAGTTTATGAAGCAATGGAATACTGGGGTTTATTTCTCTCTGAGGTATATCCATAACATTTACATCTACATTTAAAAATAAAATTAAATAGAATACAAAATTAAATAGAATAATGATGAGCTATTGGTTCTGTAGGTTTCAGGAAATAGCTGGGGCTTTGGATTCTGCACTTGTGACTTCAACACTTGTACCCTCTTCTCAAAGCTCTTCTGCAAACCAGGATCCTCATCATACCTTGGTGTTGAAACAAAGTATTTCCCTTATGGATAGCTTGAGATTGTGCTGGAGCGATGATGTTTTTCTACTTTCTTGCTCTGACAAGTTTTTGCGCCTATGTTTACAACTTCTTTCAAGGTAAGCAACATTGAATATGCAAATTAAGTTTAAAACTTGACGTGATACTGACTTTGATGCAATGAAATTGTTTGGTTATTTAGGTACTGTAATTGGTTATCAGCTGGGTTGAATGCTCGCAAGAATGGAGGTGCAAATGCAAATTTTGGATCTGAATGGGCCATTTCTGGTGCCCCTGATGATTTTCTTTATGTATGTATCTTATTATCCAGGCTATTACCTTCTTTCCATTAGACACGTTCTTTGCTAATTTACCTTGTTAAAGGTTTGTCTACATCTGTAGAGGAATCGTGTAATGATAGGTCAAGATAATTGTTGTAGTAAATCAGTCTTAAGGTCCATGAAACCTAATATACTCCTCCGTCCCGGTCCAAAGTACCTCTTTGAATTTTTGTAGTAGACTAAAAAATAATAATATTTTATTGGTTAATGAAAGTGTGTAAAATTATTGAGATTTTTTGCCCTTTGTACTTTATGTATAAATTAATTTTATGTGAAATGATATATTTGTAGTTTATGTAAAAGTTAAAAGTATTGTAGTATTAGTATGTGACTATTTTTACTATAGTAGGAAATAGATGCTATTGAATAAGATAGACAAAAATAGTAAAAAGAATACTTTCAATTGGGACGAAAGGAGTATTATTTTAGTCTTATAACTTTTTATGTTACATTTTTTTTTTCCTAATGATCTTCGTAAATTAGATCTAGGAGTTTATATGAGCTCAGTATAAAGTTATCTGTTTAAACAGAACTATAGTGTCTCTAGCACATTTTCTTTTTTATAGCTCATGCTGCTTAGTATTTCTTTTGGAATCTAAGTCGATTTCACTCTGTTTGAAGGGAATGTTGAATGCCTGAATATAATCTTTCTGCATTTGATCATATTCTTATATGAATGCTTCCACTATGCACTATAGATGGACACAGCGTGTATCTGTGCTTTGAATTCCATATAGGAATTGACAATCACAATATAAAACTGAAACATGATCGTCTTTTTAATACTTATGCACTTATTTATTGTCACAGATTATTCATGATTTACAATGCCTAGTTGATGAAATATGTGGAGATTACCTGGGGAATGTACTGGATGTTCTAAAGTCATGTTCCATAGAAGTGCTCGATTTCGTGAAGCAGAGTGTTTCACAGGGAGGCAATTCGTTAAAAGTTCTTCAGCCTCTAGTATTGAATGCAATTGTTGACATTCTGGTTGAGAAATCTGTGGAGGTAAGCAACCCTTCGAAAATAATTGGCAAACTTGGGGTGTGTTCACTTGTTAATTTTTTCACTATTTAATTTATTATTTGCCTTAAAAGAATATTACATCTAACAACCGTTTTCCATTCAAAACTCCACATCCAACAGTTATTTTCATCTCAAAACACCAAAATAAGAAACAAAACACAAGTGAAGTAGCGAACACACCCTCATTCTAGTATTTTCGTTAAATGAAAACACTTGAGGTTGTATTCAATGAGTTGATTTTGATTGTTTTATAGACACAAAATGATTACTCTCTCAGTTAGAAATTCTGTTGATTCATTTAGGAATTTTTGTACAGGACTTGCGGCAACTGAAAGGAATAACTGCAACATATAGGATGACCAACAAACCTCTTCCTGTTCGTCACTCACTGTATGTCTCAGGCGTATTGCGTCCTTTAAAGGTACATCATTCTCTTTCATTCTAATTTACATTTCAACATATGAAGGCCCTTCGAAGTAGTGTTTGCTTTCAGATAAACAATTCCTTGGCTTAAGAGTGAACATTGTTGGATAGATTTATTCTTGTGTTTAACTGTTTGTCGTTTTAGACTTTTCTTGATGGAGATCAAGCTGCTAAATATTTGACAAGTGATCTCCGGAAGGAACTCGTACAGACTTCTGCTAATTCAATTACTCAACGGTATCACGAATTAGCTGCTGACCTCATCAATGTGGTAAGCTGGCTATCCTTTTATCTTGTGGAGATATCTTCCTTTTTGTTTCCAAGTATATGTTCATTATCTTTTGCCTATACGGTATTTCTTATGAACTCCTTTTTAGACCTGTTTGTGTCGTTCTACAAGTCTGGAAGTTGTTAATATGTAGCACTAAAGTTTCATCCCTATTTAAAATCATTTGTGAGAATGAAATGAAATGAAAGACTTTGTCCTCGTCCATGGTTTACATTCATACAAGTTATTGTTCATAAGCATATCCCTTATTTTGCTAAAATCATTGCCGTATGACAGGCCAGAAAAACAGAGTCATCTCTTCAGAAAATACGTTTAGGTGCACAAAGACGAGCAGGAGCTAGCTCAGATGTTTCCGACCAAAATGTCTCTGATACAGACAAGATGTGCATGCAGTTATTTCTCGATATTCAGGTGTTTAAAGCTAAAACTTTGCCCCGCCATCTATATTCAGTGTTTGACATTAGTACGTGTGCTTATGCTCTTTTCGTGTCTTGCGCTGCTGCGACATTCAGGAATATGGGCGTAACCTTGGTTCCCTTGGGGTTGATGCTGCTGATATTCCGGCCTACCGTTGGTTGTGGCAATTAGTGGCCCCTTCAGAAAGGCAAAACACAATCAGCTTCTAACCTGCCATTATTATCTGTAGAGTTTGAGCATTCCTTGTATGTTGAATGAAGTATTTTATGTACCAAATTCTCTTTTTTGTGCTTCAGAGGTTTTGTTTTGGCCACAACTTTTGTCTATGTTGTTGAGTTTAAGCCTCTTCCTTGGGGACTGACTACACACACGTGCAAACATATATATATATATTGTTTTTTTTATAACATATATTAATCGAGTCAAATTGATACGATCAAACAAGTACATTAACCAAAACAAGAGGATTGAGATAATTGCTCTGCATAAATTATTTAACTAATTAAAATAATTAAATTAAAATGAAAGGTGTGGATTAATTTCAGCTTATGTTCAATTGTTTATCACTGATCCAAAGCCTATATAAAATTGAGTTGTTTTTTAGCTTTATTTTTTATTTTTTTGTTATTATGTAATTCTCACATTATTTAAGAAAAAAATTACTATTTTTATTCAAGAAATATTAAATTACTGTATAAAAATACATATCAAATCAGACATTTTCCCTTTTCCTTTTTCTCTATCCCATCAATTTTTTTAAAAACTGATTCTTATGTGCAAGCGCACGTGTGTGTAATATATATAGTTTATACAATATTTGTCTCGTATCTATCCAAATCAATTGTTATTATAAATTTGTGCCAGTATCACAAAAACTACCTTTACTTTGCTAACATTATTATAGAAATGTGACTATTTTTTATATTTAAATGAAAATGCATGAAAACAAAATAGAGAATTTAACATATTATTATTACATCACATGACCTGAAAATAACAACATCCATCCCATAACATACACATGGACATACATACGGGCTTCTTTCTTATCCATTAATAAAAATACGACATAAATAGATATATATCTTATTATCATAAGAGGCAAGGCATAAGCTACCTCTTCGTCTCTCTCTCCTCTCTCTCTCTCTCTCTATCAAATTCACTCTTGTTTCAATTTCCTGTCCTCTTGAATCTATAGCCATCTTCCTACAACAAAGTATGTAATTAATTAATTAATTAATCAATTTATTATCTTTTCTCATTTCTTAATTTTTGTTGCAGAGAGGGAGGGAGGATCATCCATAACTCTAATTGGCATTGGAACAAGAGTTATATATCAAAGGTAACTAACTTCATCAAAACTCGATCGAGGTTCACAAGGAAGCTGAATCGGATCGAAGGATAGAGGGAGAGAGAGAGAGAAATAAATAAATATAAAAATGGTGGGGTCTCCAGTAATGAGCTCAGAAATGCAGAATCTGTTGGGACTTCTGAGGGTCCGAATAAAGAGAGGTATTAACCTCGCTGTTCGGGACCTCAACACCAGCGATCCCTATGTTGTCCTCAAGATGGGCAGACAGGCCAGTTTTATATTTATTATTCATTTTTAATATTTTTATCTAATTTAATTTGTTCTTAATTAATCTATAATAATTATTTATTATATTGGTGCAGAGGTTGAAGACTCGTGTTATAAGAAAGGATATCAATCCTGAATGGAATGAAGATTTGACTCTCTCTGTTTCCGACTCTAACGACGTTAACATCCACCTGGTTTGTATCTCGTACTTTTATATATATATAGATGTAAGATATTAACTCCGTGCCATAAACTTTTTACGTGTTAATATTTGAATATTAATTATTATATTATGTAGTATAAATCAACAGAAAAAATAACTATACCATTTCTATTAGTCTATCATAATACAAATACAATGATATAAGTAGAATAAATTATATAAATATAAAAATATTTTTAACATTAAATAAAATTATTCAAAAGGTAAAATTGTGCCATTCCTAGGGCTAAACGGAGGTAGTATGACATTCCATGATGTAAATGGTCTGTTTTACCTAAAAGTTTAAGTTGTTAGAGATAAGCATTATTTTATTTATTTATTTACAAATGGGAGTCGACCAACATGAAATATGCACGCAGACGGTGTACGACCACGACACGTTCACGATGGACGACAAGATGGGCGATGCAGATATCGACGCGGGGCCATTCTTGGATGCGGTGAAGATGAATCACGACCGGCTCCCGGAGGGGACGGTGGTGACGAAGATACAGGCGGGGCGGAGCAATTGCTTGGCGGAGGAGAGCGATGTGGTGTGGACGCAAGGGCGGGTGATTCAAGACATGTGCTTGAGATTGAGGCACGTAGAGACCGGAGAGATTGAGCTTCAGCTCCAATGGATCGATCTTCCTGGCTCCAAGGGTCTACGATAGATCATCATCATCATTATCACCAACGTGTATATATATATATATATATCTTGTGGTTACTATGTGACACACAAATTAAATTAATATTGAGAGTGTATATATGTATGCATGTATAATGTATATGATGTATTGTTAGAACTTTTGGGAATGAAATTTGAAGTTGAAAGAGATTTTGCAATTGTTCATCTCGTGCCAATATCTTTTTACCATCTTTTTACTTTGCAAGTTTATAATTGGTATAGAAAGAGACAAACAAGCACTTAAAATACATATAACATAATATATACTTCATTTGCAAAGTTTATTATTGGTATAGAAATGGACAAACAAGCACTTAAAATAAATATAACATAATATATGCTTCATTCGTCCTAAATTTTACTATTTTAGTTTCGTCTTACTTAAAAGTATATATTCTTTATTTTTTAGAAAAATAAACATATGTTATTACTAAAATACTTTTTAATTTTTATTTATATTACAAAAATATTATTACATATACAATTAGGGTGTGTTCTTTTAAAAGTGTTATAACTAACGGAATAATATTATTTCTTAAGTAAAATTAGGTTTACATCGTCATATATATACATATTGATATTTACCATAAATATAAATATATATTACAATATATATCAATACCATAAATATAGATATATATGTATATATATTACAATATATATTAACATCTCCCTTCAAACTCAAAGTGGGAGTATGGAAACCAGCTTGAGTTTGTTCAAGAATGACTGAAAGCGGTCGGGTAAATAAGACTTGGTGAAGCCATCAACAGTCTGATCAGCAGAAGAAGTGGAGGACAAGGAGACATTTTCGTTAGCAACGTGATGACAGACAATGTGACAGTCGATCTTGATGTGTTTCGTACGCTCGTGAAAAACATCATTCGTCAAAATCTCCATGGCACTCTGACTGTCACAATGAATAGTGGTAGCAGAGGGCTGAGACACACCGAGATCAGCCAGTAGCCATTGAAGCCATAAAAGCTCGGTAGTGGTATCGGCAAGAGCTCGATACTCGAGGTCCGCATTGGATTGGGAGATGACCGTCTGTTTCATGCTGCGCCAAGAAATAAGTGAATCACCGAGAAAGAAACAAAAGCCGGTAGTCGAGCGACGATCGATGGGATCTCCCACCCAATCAGCATCAGAGTACCCAGTTAAAACCAAGGACGAACGAGTTGAATAATGGAGCCTATGGAGGAGAGTGCTTTTGATGTACCGAAAAATCCGTAGAACAACAGAGTAATGAATCGTCCGAGGAGCGGACATGAACTGACTGACGATATGAACAACATAGCCTATGGAGGAGAGTGCCTTTGATGTACCAAACGAGCCTTGTAGCGCTCTATGGATCCATCAGAGTGTGTTTTGATCCGGAATACCCACTTACAGCCGATAGGTTTCTTGCCTCGAGGAAGATCAACCATATCCCACGTGTGGGTTTTCTCCAAAGCCTATAACTCTTCAGACATAGTCTGCCGCCACAACGGGTCCGCATACGCCTCACGAAAGGACCTGGGATCATGGTGGGACAAGGTGGCAGATAAGCAGTGATAATCGAGTAGGTGAGTAGGGAGATGACTAACCCGAGTGGAACGGCGAGGGGCAGGATCAGGGTCCGAGGTCGAAGTAGTGTCGGGATCTGGTGGTGGTGACGGATCAGAGTCGGGAGTAGTGGTGGGCTCGGGGATCAGTGTCGGCTCAGGAGGTGCAACCGGGACAGCATTAGGAGCAGAGGACGGAGCCGCGTCGTTAGAAGGAAATAAAAGTGGAGAAAATAAGGTAAAGAACGGAGACGAACGATCAGAAAGAACTCGAAAGTGGGACGAGGTAGAGAACTTGGTATTCTCCCAAAATGTGACATGACGAGAAATACGTAACCTATTGGAAATGGGATCCCAACAATGATAACCCTTATGCTCTACCCCGTATCCCAGGAAGCAACACAGACGCACGTGAAGTTCTAACTTGGTGCGCTCATGAGGAGAGAGGAAGACGAAACTGACACAACCAAAGGGGCGGAGAAGACTATAATCAGGGGCTCGATTAAATAGTCTTTCACATGGACTAACATTACCCATGACAGAGGAAGAAAGACGATTTATAGTGTAGACAGCAGTAAGTGAGGCTTCCCCCCAAAAATGATCCAGACAAGAGGTAGATAAAAGAAGGGTGCGGACTTTATCGAGGATATGACAGTGTTTATGTTCGGCGCGACCATTTTGTGGAGAGGTGTACGGGTAGGAGCGTTGGACAACAATACCCTGATCAGATAGGAAACGAATGAATGAAGAATCTGTATACTCAAAAGCATTATCTGTCCGGAGAGTTTTTATGGTGGAGGAAAATTGAGAATGTATCATTTTAGCAAAGTCCATATAAATAGAGGATAGTTCAGAACGGTGTCACATGAAGTAAATCCACGTAAAGCGAGAGTAGTCATCGATAAAAAGCACAAAATAACGAGAACCATTCATAGAGACAGTGGGTGAAGGCCCTCAAATATCAAAGTGAACTAATGAAAACGGAGTATCCACAACATAAGTACTATGGGGGAATGATAAAGCAGGTTGTTTCCCCAATGAATAATCCACACAATTAAAAGACTCAAAACCGACATAACCCAAAAGACCCTAAGAGGGGGGAGCTGAAGTGACTCAAGCTCAAATAAGCGGTCCGTCTTCCGGCCCTTCCCGAGCGTCCTCCCGGTTCGCGCATCCTGAACCTGCACACCAGAAGAAGAGAAAATCACTGTGAGACCTTGATCAACTAATTGACCAACTGAGATCAGATTCAAGGTTAATTGGGGAATACAATAGGTGTCAGGGAGGGATAAAGATGAGGTGGATGTGCGTCCAGTATGGGTGATGCGCATATGGGTACCATTTGCGGTAAGGATAGGAGAGATGGTGCGGTGGATACAGAGGTCATAAGATGTATATCAGAGGTCATATGATTACTAGAAGTAGAATCAAAATACCAATGAGAGGTACCTGATATGGTAGACATTGCGGTATTGGAAAATAGAACTTGTTTAAAGAGAGCCTCCAAGTCCTGAATCGTAGGAGGCGCAGGCGCAGGCGTGGCAGATGCCGTGACAAATGAGGTACTAGACTGAGGAGGTCCACGAACTACCGAGGCTTGAAGTTACTGCTGCCAGAGCGAGACGGCCTGATAGGGCAATACTGTATAGTATGACCTAAAACGTGACAGTAGTGACACTCCATTTTGGGTCAGTGACTGAAGTCGTGATTAGAAGACTGACATCGTTTTCAGCGGAGTTGACGACTCTGAGTAGGTGGTCGGGCGGTGACCGCAAGAGCAGAATCAAGCGGAGGAGCCTTGGCGAGGTCAAGACGTGTTTCCTAAAAAATAATCTCCTGAATAGCTGCATCTAATGTAGGAAGTGGGTGCCGATGTAACAATGAGGCACAAACTGCCTCATACTCTGGACGCAAAGCCATCAAGACCTGAATGAGGCGAAGATGATCCGGACTGATCTTAACCTGATCCAACCGATGCTAAAGCGGTTGCACTTGTGCAAGAAAGTCGTTGACAGATTGTCCTGGTTCCTGTTTCAGATTATGAAGTGTACTCCATAGTTGATGATAGTGCGCAGTGTGATTTGATTATACAGAGAGAATTCGGGGCTCTGAAACCATATTGGAATTAACGGAATAATATTATTTCTCAACTAAAATTAGGGTTACATCGTCATATATATATACATATAGATATATATTACAATATATATCAATACCATAAATATAGATATATATATATTACAATATACATCAACAAAAAGATTTTTGAAAATTTTCAATATTCATTCATTTCTTTTTAAAAATATCAAATCAAAATCTTATATATTTTTACTAATTAATAAAATATTATTATTTTTTAATCTATTACAAATCTAGAGCGAATGTATTATTAACCATATACATCTATCCGTTACTTCTTTTTCTTTTTCAAATTTTCACTACCTTTAATACTTTATTTTTTTTATGTAGTTTTCTTGAAAAAAATTCAAGTTGTTCACTTTGAAAAAAAATTAAAATTAAAATTAAATATTCTTATGTGTGCACATTAATTTATAAAAATATTTTATCAAATATTTTTTCTTCTCTTAAAATATCTAATGCTTATTGTAATAAAAAATATTTATAACTTTTATCTAAATTGAACTTTAATTCACTCAAATCTATTTGAGGGTTTTTGACTTTTAAGACCATTATGTATATATTACATTAAAAATATACTATGATCACAAATATATTTAAAATTTGTGTTTAGGGTACACAAAGAAATTGAATAGAGGTAACTTAATTGAGATTTTTCTTAAAAAAAAATAAAAAATAAAAAAAATTACTTAATAGAGACAAAACATGTTTATCATGCTTGTTGAATCAAAATAATAAAATGTAAATCCCATAAAAGATAATTTGGGTGATATACGAAGGGTGTGTTTGTTAGGGGGATTGGATTGGATTTACACTATTCATCCAATTTTTTTCCTCCAAAAATATCAAATCGAACATCTATTTTTTATTTTTTATATTATACTAAAAATCAATTTTACATTCAAAACATCACATCAATACCTATTTATATCACATCATACAACTATTCAAATTCAAAATTTTTACTATTCAAATCCCAATTCAAAATCCAAACAAACACACCCAAATGTATTACCATGACTCAATTAATTCTAAAATCAACAAAATCAAAAAAATACAAAACAAAAAAAAATGTAAAAAATAAATGAATATTTAATTTCAGGACTATATATATTTCTAAAATAATAAATTTGTCTATAATTAACTATATTTTTTTACTGTTTAATAATTAATTATTTTTTTTATTATGTATAAATTTCAAAATAATTAATTAAAAATAAAACCAAATATAATATGATGACGTGGCATCATCATCTTCGCTTCCACAGCAGAGCAGAATGGATATGGCGGAGTCATGGGGTACCACAAAGCCCCTTGTCTACCGGATCACCAGTCACCCCCAACAATTCCCCACATCCACATTTCATCTCCCATCCCTGCAAAAACATACCAATTAATAATGGAGAAAAACTCACCGGAAAAACACGACTACGACGACACAAATCCGGCGACGCTGCTGCACCATTCCAAAGATGTCGATCAATTCATCGACGCTCTGCGCGCCATCGACGATAAATCTTCCGGCATCGTTGGCGTCCCGGATTTCATCGATTTATTCTCCAGGGATATGGAATCGAGGGTGCAGATATACGTTTCCGGCGATGCTCATCGGAGATTCGGAAAGTCGCCGGAGGAAGACTCCGATTTCATGGCGTCGGTGGGGCGAATGGCGAAATTGACAAACGCTCTGTGTGAGTTTAACAACGTTGATTCGCTGTTGAATCAGACGACCATCGCGCTCCAACGCGCCGCCGTGATGCTGGAGGACGAGTTCCGGTCGCTTCTGGAAGATTCGAGAAATAGAGATGAAAATAACTGTAACTCCGATCCGCCGGAAAATACGCCGACCTTTTACAAGTTCTCGTCCTTCAATTTGAAGAACAATCAGCCCGCCGATCACGCCGCCGATCGGTGCTCGATTAACGGCGATGGGGATTCCGGCGAGTACCCGGCGCCCCCGCCGGAATCTCTCTCGAAGCTTCGTGACATCGCGAGCACGATGATCGCCGGCGGCTACGAAGTTGAGTGCGGGCGCACGTACCTCCTCTCCCGCCGGAACGCCACCAGAAATTACATGGTGAAGCTCGAATACGACGTCGTTTTGAGCATGGACGACGTGGCGAAGATGCCATGGCAGACGATGGACCCCGAGATTTCCCGGTGGATCAATTCCGTCAAAGTCTGCTCGGAGGTGATCTTCCCGGCGGAGAAGACTCTCGCCGAATCAGTCTTCCCCGACACCCCCTCACTCCGCCGGAAACTGCTAACCAACCACCTCCGCGCGGTGGCGATCCAGCTCCTCGACTTCGCCGACGCGACGGCGTTGTCGAAAAAATCCGCCGAAAAACTCTTCAAGTACTTAGACATGTTCGAAACTCTAAGAGACCAATTCCTCCCGTCGCTCTCCGACGAATCCCTAATTTCCGAAGTCTCCGCAGCCGCCGACCGCGTCGGAGAATCAGTAATCGGAATATTCCGCCAGCTGGAGGACTCAATTCAAAACGACGCCTCCCGAACGCCGGTCCCCGGCGGCGCCGTACACCCGCTCACACGCTACGTGATGAACTATCTAAAATACGCCACCGAATACAAAGACACACTCGAATTAATCTTCACCAAATCACAACCACCGGAAAATTTCCCCGAATCCCCAACCAATTCATCGTCTCAACAACCAGAAAGCCCCAATTTCCACAATTCCGACGGGGAGGTCGCCGTGACTCTATTTTCGATCCAGATGGCGGCGGTTATAAACCGCCTCGACGAAAACCTAAACCAGAAATCGAATCTCTACAAGGATCCATCACTTCTATACATGTTCCTGATGAACAACGGGCGGTACATTCTGCAGAAGGTGAAGAGCTCGCCGGAAATCCGGCAAGTGATGGGCGACAACTGGTGCCGGCGGAAGTCGACGGTGCTCCGGCAGTACCACAAGGGGTACCAGAGGGAGACGTGGAACAGAGTGGTGCAGTGTTTGGGGCAGGAGGGGCTGATAGTGAACGGGAAGGTGAACAAGGCGCTGGTGAAGGAGAGGTTGAAGGTGTTCACGGCGGTGCTGGAGGAGATCCTCCGGACGCAGAGCGGGTGGGTGGTGAGCGACGAGCAGCTGAAGTCGGAGCTGCGGATATCGGTGTCGGCGGTGGTGATTCCGGCGTACCGGTCGTTTGTGGGGCGGTTTAAGCACCACTTGGATAGCGGGAACGGGAGGGGGGTGAGCAAGTACATAAAGTACCAGCCGGATGACGTGGAGCTGCTCATTGAAGGGCTCTTCGCCGGGAACACCGCCTCCTTCTCTAAGAGGAAATTATAATTATAATTTATGATGTAAAATAACCCAATATATATATATGTTCATTTTTTTTAGTATAGTCTTTTTTGGATGTACCTGGAATATATATACACATTCATTTTGATAGGAGATTTATAAATTGATTGTTTTTATATGTCCAACATATGTTAAAAATAATTAGAATGGTAAGAAAATTAGATTAAAAGATTTACAAACGATGGGATCAAAGGAATAATATACAAGATTGGAGAACCTATAAATTAGGTAGTTAGTTGTTTAATTTTTTTATATATATTAAATTTAAAAGCTAATCAAAATTGCATCTTAGTTCTTTCATTTCTCACACACCTGCATTTATTTCTTTTTCTCTGTTGCGAAACCATATTTCCATTCCAGTCCTATTTCGTTCCCGATCGATGTTGCTGCCGACGATGTCGAATGATGACACTGTCGAAGCTGCCAACACGGTTTTTTTCCGTTCCGGTCCTTTGAAGAAGTTGTAGAATTTCTTGAAAGAAAAAGAAGAACCAGAGAAATACGGCTAAGCTTTCAGAATTTCAAAATGCAGCTAAACTGAATTGATTTTACGGTTTTCTAACTATGCATATATATGATATTAGATGGGCTATGACACAAGTAATGGGCCCTAGTTAACTAATATGATATGATTACATAGAAAAATGCAAAATATTAATTATTTTTTTTCAAATCCAGCGACGTTATCACCATCATCATCATCCTCCTCCATCATCCCTGGTGGTCACTAAGTTAAACTTGGATAAAAAAATTGAGCAAAGACAAAGGGCTAAGACCTTTGGTAAAGATATCTGCACTTTGGTAGAAATGTGAACAAGTGTAGGAGTCCTTGAGTGAAATGTTGTCGAACAAACTGACAATCAATGTCAATGTGTTTTGTTCGCTCATGGTGAACCGGATTTTGGACCAAATGGATAGGTAGAAAGGTTATCACAATGTAATGTGGAGTGATAACGGAGATGCGGAAATCCTAGAGCAGATGTGATCCAAAGAAGTTCAAAAACAAAGGCAGCCAACGCGAGAAATTCTGCTTCAGTTGAGGAGCGAGATACAGTTGGTTGCTTCTTTGATTTCCATGAGATTAAGCAATTACCCAAGTAAATGCAGAACCCGGCAAATGATTTTCGAGTGTCCAGACAACAACCCCAATTAGCATCCGAATAGACAAATAGGGCTAAAGTAGATTATGAGGGGAATAATAGCTTAGCTCTAATGTTACCTCTAAGATATTTGAGAAGACGTTGGATGGCGTTCCAATGTTGAGATGTGGGTTCAGCCATAAATTGTGAGAGTTGTTGGACTGCGAATGTAATATATGGCCGAGTCATGGTGAGATATAATAGTTGACCAAGTAATCTTCAAAATTGTGAGGCTTGAGAAGATGATAGAGAAGTACCAGCTTTGGCTTGAAGTTTGTTTCCCAAACCAGTAGGTGTGGGAGCAGGACTAGAGTGAAGGATTCCAGATTTTGTAAGTATATCCAAAAGAAATTTGTCTTGACAGATAATTAAGCCATGAGAAAAGTGTTCAACCTGCATTCCCAAAAAGAGATATGTTGTTCCAAGGTTTTTAATAGTATAAGCTTTGTCAAGGTAATATGTCACTTCATCAATTATAGGAGGGGTGATTTCCTGTAAAGAGGATATCATCAACATAAACCAGAAGAATAGTGAAATGGGCATTGGAGCTGTGAGTGAATAAGCAATGATCATGAGATGATCTGATGAAGCCAAATGAGATCAACTTTGACGAAAATTCCTTATACCATTGACGAGGGGCTTATTTTAGGCCATAAAAAGAACGCTTAAACTTGCAAACCAAACTAGGGGTTGTTGGGCATCCGTGAAGAGGTATCATATACAATTATTCATCTAACCAACCATGTAGGAATGCATTGTTGACATCAAGTTGGTGGATTCTCCATTATCTAGCAGCAGCAAGGGTTAGTAATATTCGCACAGTTACTGGTTTTGCCACAAGGGCAAAACAATCAGTGTAATCTTTCCCCATAACTTGGAGAAAGCCTTTAGCTACTAATCAGCTTTGCAGTGTTTAAAAGATCCATCAGCATTGGTTTTTATTCTATAAATCCACTTGCACCATATTAGTTTGACACCTTCAGGTAAGGGTGCAAACTCCCAAGTTTGATTGGCATAGAGGGCCTGTAATTCATCATCCATTGCTTTCATCCAATGTTCTTCCTTAACAAAGGAAATACCATGCCACAAGTACAAAGGAGTTGGAGGTAAGGGATGAACTGCGGAAGAAGAGAACGGGGAAGGCGATGGTATCAGTGAAAGAGAGTCGAAGGAGAGAGAAAGTGCGATAGAGTAAACAGAAGAAATCTAATTTAAATAGGAGCATAACGGCTAGTATATGTAAAAGTTTAACACTGTTAGTGCAATTTATAATAAAGGGATGAAATATACAACATTTTAGAAACCACTAATAGGTTTTAGGGAATTTTTGGACCACGGGAGTTATTCATCAAATTCGAGAAACCACATGAAGGATTTTTGCTATTATTCCAAACTAAAATTAGAAAAACAACCGATGAAGCACGGCCGTGTTATTCCAACACGGCCGTGTTTGAATAAAAAAGTAAATTAGAATGTCAAATTATTTGAAGACAGTTGTATTTTATCTAACATGCTGTGTTCGATCCGACTCATATGCCACGTCAGTTTTTACTACAGCCACGTTAACATATCTATTAAAAATTTAATTGTGGGACTAAAAATGATATTTTGTATTTTGTATAAAACTAATTTTGATAATTATTTTTAAATGAGAATAAAAATAAAAATAAAAAAAAGAATTTGATTGGTACCAATATTAATTTTTACTCTAAAAATAATCAAGAATAAGGAATGACTTTTGTTAGAGAAAGAATATAAATATTATACTCTTTTCGTCTCAAACTCAAAATACAGATTTTTACTAAATAATTTGGAACGAATTGAATAAAAAAAAATATTATTTTATTTTATTTTGACAGATTTATATATATAATGCTACTAATATAATTATGGGCCAAATTATAATTCAATAATTTGGAACGGTCGATGGGCCGTAAGAGTCGGTGAATATGGTACAAAACAAAGTTTAAGGTCGGTCGCGCCTGGAGTTTGATATAGGCCCATTTCTTCCTGGGCCCAAAATACATTGTTCTTATAATGGGCCATTATTGGTCAGACCCAAAATATTAGAAGTTAAGCCCAATCGGCTTATCACTTTAATTTGTTAAGTGTATTTTTTTTTATTTTTTTTTTTCAAATAATAGTAAACACTCACTATTTAATTTGTATTATTCTCAAAAAATATATATATTTTTTCTTTATTTTATAAAATATCAAATTAAAATATTGTTTAAACAAAAATTTAAATCAATATTGTATTTCAAATTAATTCTAAACAGCAAATCAAATAAATTTTACTCCCTCCGTCCACAAAAAAGTATACAATTACTTTTGGCGTGGATAGTTAAAAGTAGTGTAATGACATTTTTGCCCTTGCTTTTTGGTGTAAAAGTAATGATGTGATGTAAAGTAAGAGTATTTGTGGAAAAAAGTAAGGTATTTAATGAAATGTTTACTTTTTAATTAGACGTCCCAAAATAGAAACATGTATACTTTTTAGCTGGACGGAGGGAGTATTTTATTTTGTTCAAATTGGTTTGCTGGGATAAATTTTTAATTATATAAAATTTTATATGTAAAAATATTAATTGGTCTTTAGCATACATCATTGAATATTTTTTTGAACGAAGCTGCTGAAATTCATCATGTTCGTCCAATATAGTTTTTTTTATTAACATAAATTTTAATAAATCTTTTTAAGAAATACAATATGAATGTATAAACTTACACAATATACTCCATTCGTCCTAGATATGGTGTTTTTTATGTACAAAAATTTAGAAAAATTAAGATTAAAGATAATTAAAAATATATTAATAAAAGTAATTATAAATTAATAATAAAATAAATAATTGGTCTAATTAAAATTTCAAAAATTATAAATGTATATTATTTTTTTAAAAAAAATGACATAAGATATGAAAAATATAGAAACAACAATATAGACATCAATGTGGGAAAGAGAGAGTATATTCTATTAACTCGGAAAAAATAATAATTTAATACAAAATATTAATTTTATATTAAGAACTCCATATCTTAACATAAAATTATATACATCAAAAAATACAAAAATATAAAGTGAGCACATTCATTTTTGCTTGATTTGTTTATTTTTGTTTATATAGACACTTTTCCAAACTTTGATAGTAATTTTTTAAAATATTGATATCAAGTAATTATTTAATTTTATAGAACATCAAATAGTTAATACTTTAATATTTTAAATAATTTTCAAAACTTTACAAACTTATACTAATGTAAATGAATCTGACATTTTTATTTTTTATTTTTTTTGTCTTAACTGAAAATATCATTTTTGTTATTTTTATTTATCTCACTCAAAAATATTTATTTTTTATTATAATTAAATTAATAATACAATAATACTAAAATATCATTAATTCTTATATAAATTACAAATATATCATTATACATAAAGTACAATGGACAAAAGTATTAAAATTATCTTATACATTTTCCTTATTATTATTTATTATTCTATTACATATATGTATAAGAATAATTAATTTGGGAAATTTTAACTTGAATGAATTGAGCCAAACACTAGAAAATAAAGAATGCCTTGTGAGTGTGTATAATAGTCTCTTCGTCCCAAAACAATAGAGACATTTGGGATGAACACAGAAATTAGGGAATAATTGTATTATATTAATAATTGGTATAAAAGTGTTTTTAAAAGACCAAAATACCTCTATTTTATGTAATTATTATGAAAATATTTGGATAATATTGTAAAAAATGTGAAAAGTTGGTTACCAAAAATAAATATTAAATTATAATTTTGAAAATGACAAAAATGGCAAAATAGAACAATTGTTTTGAGACAAAATAAATATGTGATAATTGG